ATGCATTTTAGATGAATCTGGTACAATTATGACTGCATGAACTGGTGACTGGAAACATTCGTTACTGGCCTGGTATTTTTGTTTTACTTTTGCTGAGGAAGATTCACCCTGAGCTAACATCTGTGCCAACCTTCCTCTATTTTTTAGTACGTGAGCCACCTGCACAGCACGGCCCCTAACAGAGCCGGGTAGGTCCTGCCTGGGGAACCAAATCTGGGTTGCCAAAGCAGAGTGCACTGAACTTAACCACTAAGCCACTGGGGCTGGCCCTACTAACCTGTTTTTATTTTAACCAATATGCTATTTTTTTATTGAGGTATAATTGACATAGAACATTATATTAGTTTCAGGTACATGCCATAATGATTCAATATTTGTATATTTTGCAAAATGATCACCACAATAAGTCTAGTTAACATTTGCAATGTCTATTTTGATCAATTTCTTTTCCACCAATTTATCCTAAGGTGCTGTCACCTCCTGTCCCCACCCCACCTCTCCATGGTCCAGCCCTACAACGATTTCCCATGATCTCCCACTTCCATTTTTTTTCTTAATCTTTGCACACACCTGCTGCCAAGGATGCTCACTTCTACCCTGCCCTTCACCTGGCTATCTCCCATGAGTTTTTCAGGTGAGCGCTGGGACATAAATTTCTCTGAGTGAACTCTCCTGTTCCCATGCACCCCCACAGCAGCTGCTACCTACCCCATCACAGCACTTTCCAGGTCTGATTCTGATTTCTCACTTCCCTCTTTTCCCTCACATCCTCTTTTCTTTTACTCTTATTTTGTTGCTTTTTCTACTCCTGGTTTATTTGGACCATATCTTACTGCCTTCCACCCAAGATAACAACTTCCTACAATTTTGTTCTAAAGCCTGCAGTTCGTTGATTTTATAGATATGCTGTTTGTAAAGTCTTTCAGATGCTATTTCCCATCAAGTCCCACGGCATTTGTCATAAACACCATGTTCGTTTTTCTTCTTCACTCATCCTAAATCAGGGCAAGATTGTTCTAGTTGGTGTCTGTCAACAGGCGAAGTCTGTGGTTTGCCCTCAGCCCCACCCTCCATGCATCTATGTGGTAGATATTATTTTTCTTTGGGTTAGGGCTCAGGGGTTTATTGATTGCTCAGTTCATGGTTTCACTGCTCTACTAAACTGACATTTTCCTGATCTTGGACATTATAAGCTAATGTAGTAGTTGAAAAGCTAAAATTCTCAGCATACACCATCACTAAGCCTCTTCTGTCAATAGCATTTTATGCTTTGGTACTTAATCTTAAGACAGTATCATGCCATAATCTCTGTTCTACACCATTCTCATCCTAAACCTGGAAATTATGCCTTGATGATTTTCACATGACTTTTTTTCCAGCTAGATTATAAACTGCTTGAGGGCAAGGATTTTCTTAATCTTTGTATCCTCCATAGATAGCACAAGGTTACGCACATAACAGGTGCTCCGTAAATGTTTGCTAAAGTCAAGAAAATGTCTCTTGGAGTGAATTCCTCTAAAGCCTTCTCATACAAGCCAACATTGGAAAGACATTCAATATGCTGAAACCTTTTATGGAGACCCTACTAAATAAATTGTTCAGAGTCTCAGTCTCTTCCTTTTTGATTTCTGATTCTTCATCCACAGTCAGTTTCTAACTAACTCTTCCAACAGCTCCCAGGCAGTCCCATATTCCCGCTGGCCAGGAAGATCAGGCCTGTGGGCTCACAGACATAGCGCTGAGTGGGGCATGGAAGCAGGAACCAGCGATGCACTGCTCTATTCTGGGATTTATCACTACAAGGAAACGTTGGCAATTACATTTCAAAAAGAATTAACAACCCAAACGAAACATAAAACGTATTTGGATTTTTGAGTTAACCACTCAAGACGTTGTTTGAGGAGAAACTCTAAGGCAATTAAACAAAAGAATTTCCAGGTTGTGTTTACATAAGAAACTTCCTCTGGAAATACTCTTCTCTAGGGTTTTTTCTTCTTTTGCTGTAAACTCAGCATAAAAAAAATCAAAGTTTATGTTAAAAAGTGTCAAAGGGTGTCAGCTTTTACAAAGGGACAGTGGGTACTTCAGGAGCCATGACTTCCACAAGCAAATGGTCACAGTCCACTACCCTGACCCTAAGGTCAGCATGCTGAAGCCACGATCCATGCAGAGCACTGATCAGACAACGGATTATTCCAGCAAACACTGAGAAAATGGAAATACTTAAAATTGGCAACTTCAAAAATGCTTCCACTTCAATTTTGGTCTTTAAATGTGATTGTAGATTAGGAGAATCCACTTGCTTGGTTTTTAAGAACATATTATTATCTAGATAGAGTAGCTTCCCTCTATGATAGAGTAGCTTACAGTTAGACCAAAGCACCACAAAAACAGCTAGAAAAGCTAGATTTAAAAAAAAATCTGTGTGAAGGCTTTGGAGAGCTGCAGAGGAAGCCAAGACTCAAGGGGCCAAAATCCAAGAGAGAAAGGAACCACCAAGAGGAGTCCAGACATTCTGAGAGCCACCTTTCCCTGCAGGGCACTTGTTGATTCTTGGCCTGAGGTGAGAAGCTGAGGATGGGGCAGAGGAATTGAACCGACACTTAACAAAAATGGATATTCAAATGGATAATAAACATTTGAGAAGGTACTCAAATCATTGGCAACAGGGAAAGCTGCATGTAAAACCACGGGAGATACTGCTACACACCTACACAGAATAGCTAAACTTAAAAAAAATGACAACATCAAGGGCTGGCGAGGATCTGGAGCAACAGGAATTCTCATACAACACTAATGGGAGGGCAAATCATAGCATCACTTCGGAAAACTGCTTGGCAGTATCCCCTACAGCTAAATACAGTCATGTGCCACGTGATGATGTTTCGGTCAATGACGGACTGCATATTTGACGGTGGTATCAGAAGGTTAGTACCATAGAGCCTAGGTGTGCAGTAGGCTATACTATCTAGGTCTGTGTAAGGACACTCTGTGATGTTCGCACGACAAAATCACCTAACAATGCATCACCCAGGACGTATCCCAGTCATTAAGTGATGCATGACTGTCTATGGATACCCTGTGATCCAATAACTGCACTTGTAGGTATCTATGCAAGAAAAAAGTCTACATATGTTCAACGAAAGATATGTATGAGAACGTTCCCAACAGCATTACTTGTTGAAGCCCCAAACTAGGAACAAATCAAACGTCCATCAATAGTATGACGGATAAACATATTTTGGTATAGTGGCACAATGGTATACTAAGCTGAAGTGAAAAAGAATAAACTACTGCTGTATGTAACAACATGAATGAAAGTTGGGTGAAAAAAAAGGCTAAACACAAAAGAGTCCTGTGATATGATTCCATTTTACATAAAATTCAAAAAGAAGAAAAGGCGATAGAAGTCAGAATTGTAATGCAGTTAATGGCTGGAAAGGGGCATGAGGGAGTCTGCTGGAGGACTGCTAATGCTCTATATCTTGATGCAAGAGGTAGTTAAATGGGTATGTTCACTTTGTGAAAATCCATAGAGTGTACAGTTATGTTTTGTGCACTAATTCATTAGATATGGTGGCAAACTACAGATATCCACTAATACGCACTCTTCTCTTCCTCCTCTTAGTTATATAATAGCATAGCCATGTTGTACAATTCCCGGGCACCATTTTTATAGACTCAGTGTGAAAGCTGCCTTGTAGAGGAGCTGTACAAAGTGCTGACTCGGAATATAACTACCCCATTTTACCTGTGCCTAAGGTTGTTCAGCTAGAGATTGCATTTCTCAGATTCTCTTGCAGCTCAAAACCACTATGTGACTGAGTTCTGGCCAATGGGATGAAAGCAGAAGCAACAGTGCCATTTCCAGGTCTTTCCTTAAGGAGTCTGGCTGTGCACTGCCCTGGCTCTTTCCTCCCTTCCTTAGGACTGGAAAATCACCAAGTGGAAAAGCTGCCTTGGATCCAGAGATGGAAGTCACGTGTGGAGGATGGCAGAGCCTACCAGACCTGCAGACCTTAGTCTGGATTGGTATGTGAGAAAGAAACAAGCATCTAGCTGGTTTGAGCCACTGATTTAAGGGGTCTCTTTGTTACAGCAGCTTAGATGGTACCCTAACAAATATAGGCATTAAAGCATGATATTGAACGAAGTTATATTTCAAAACTGTACTTTTGTTGCTTGGTATTTGTCACAAACAATAGCATTTAATTGCTTTGTTATCAGTCTGCCACCATACAACCTAGAGAACTCTAGAGAACAGCACAGTACAGGGGAGAGAGCATTTTGTCGTGAGGAGCTGCTCTAGGGTATCCTTCTAACTCTGCCTCTAGTGACAAGGGTTTTGGCTTTTTTTACCTGTATAATATAAAGGTGTCTGGATGTCCCCAAGGATCTCATCCGTGTCTAACATTCTGTGACTCTCCTAAAACGATGTAATGACCCTCACACAATTACAGTTGGCTGGAGGCCACAGTGGGAAAAAGTCTACCCTTCAGTGCCATCCTTGTACACATGACTTGAAGGAAGCTTTTTCAAATACGGACAGCAATGCCTTTTATTATGTCAACTGTCAGTAAAAGTAAATCACAATAAATTGCACATTTTCCAGGCACTCCTTTCAGTTGTCCCAGAATCATTAAGCACCCAATGTGAACAGCAAAGAAAAGAGCGTATTTAAAATATGAAGCGTTAGGGACTCACAGTGCATCAAGGTATATTGGCTTAATGTAGCCAAACAGAAATAAGGACTGGATTATTTCAATAGATAGATATGTTTTGGATGCTGAATCAAAAGAAACAACATAGATCCTTTTCTTTCTGAATCCTTCAAGGGGCCCTTAGTTTACATATGGCCTAAGAGTTGAGTTTGTGTTTATTCGAAAGGAATACATTTGTGATATTCTGTGAGATAATAAATAATGTGGTTAGTACCGAAGTGACTTATTAAGACAATCATCCACGCTTTACATGGCTTAACAATATAAAAGTTATCTTACCTGGGGGTTTTTAAATACAGCATATTTTTCCTCTTTCTCCAAAAATACCACTTTATTTTCTGTGTCTCTTGTCCAGTCTGATAAGACTTCAACAACATTTTCATGGTCTTCAAAAAACCTTTCTGATGAAACAAGAAAAAAGCATTCTTTCAGAACCAAGATATCAGGGTTTCCAAAAGAGAAATAGGCTAGTATTGAGTCAAAAACCATGCTTCATACTTCTCATCGGTTTCTAGAAATCCCTAATTCTTATATGATGTCACATTATAACATTCCTATTATGTTGATTCTTCAGTGTCAGGTCTTCAACCTATTTTCCATAAAAAAATATGGCAGATGAACCTACAACATAGTGATAGTGATCAGCCATTGCCCTTTTATCTTATTGGCTTTTTTTTTTTTGTTTTTTTGCTGAAGATTTGCCCTGAGCTAACATCTGTGCCAATCTTCCTCTATTTTGTATGTGGGTTGCTGCAAAAGCACGGCTGACAAGTGGTGTAGGTCTGCACCTGGGATCTGAACCCAGGAACCCTGGCCGCTGAAGCAGAGCCCACTGAACTTAACCACTACGCCATGAGGCCAGCCCTTTTATTAGCATTTTTGACTTCAAATAGTCCCTGGGCATAAACATACTACCTGTAAGGAGAATAACTAAGCAATGGTTGGTTAAACAACTTGGAATGAAATCGTGAGAACTGTGATGAGTAGACTCTAAAAAGCTAAAAACAACATATGAATATCGGAACTAAACCTAAACAGAAAGGAAAGCTTTCATTTCTCTATTTGACTCAGAGAGTTGAAGAAAACTTCAGGAGGTTATTTCATTGTAGATCATTTCCTTTAGAAAAAATTTCCACCGAAAGCTTCTAAAACAGGCAATTCTGTATTCCAGCAAGCTCTCCTGGGAGACAACTGTACTGTGAGAGGTATTAAGAAGGAGATATAACAGAGTACATCTTCAGTTGCTTTTTCTCTTGTTTTTTTATTCCATAAATTTCTACCAACTGTCCTCTGCTCTTTGGGACTGAGCCTCTTCAGCTAGACAAAGTGTCAGACATTAGGCGAGTGGGGAGGAAGGACAGGGAAATGAACATTGATGTGAGGCAGAGTTACACTAGAGTTTAAAGAACTAAATTCTAAACAGATATTAGCTGACAGATACCCAGGCCCTTCCACAATCTGCTCAGATTACTAAACGTGCAGTAGGAAGCATCATCCTGTCACTTTCTTTCCCTTAGGGAACCACTAGAGAAGTGGCAATAACAATGCTTACACCCCCCAAGGTCTGGCCACCTGCAACCATCTGACCCTGTTCCCCGCAAAGAAATGAAGAGGCAAACACTGAATCTGACAGAGGGAAATGATGTATGGGAAGTCTTGATAGACTTGAGCCAAACTCTTCCTAATAATAGACCAAAACACATAATAAAGCAAATCCACAGGTTTTCGAAGTACAGCCTATTGCTGGGGATGGGACTTACCGATTTGCAGTTCTGGGTATATTTCATAAAGACACCAGTCTATGTTGCAGTCACAATGGGTTTTCTCAAAAAGGTTGTCTAGAATGTCTCGAGCCAACTGCCGCTCATCCACCATCAGTGACTTCGTGCTGTTATCATTCATGTGCACCTTCACAACAAGCTGAGGACAAAGCCATGGGCAACCAGTCAATTTCAGCAACTGGAGAAGGCCACTAAGAGGAAACTTTCAAAGTTGCTATTGCTTTTGCAAATTTAAGCAGGAATGTGCCCTGAAACTTACTCAGTATGAATTCACGCATATGCTGAGCACTTGTTCGAGGTGCTAGGAATACAGAGGTGGAGAAACCAATAAACAAAAACGGAAACATACAATGAGCAAAGTCCTTGCCCAGCTTTCAGAGACTCTGCCTTCTGATGGGGGAGACAGAAAACAAACAAACAGAACCAAAGCAGCTCTGACTTCCTGCTTTCCTGACATCATTCAGTGACTTGTTCTGGTTCACCCAGGAGCCACACCCATAGAAAGCCATGCCTGCATCTTTCTAAGAAATTTTTCTCTTTTGCTTAGCAGGAGTTGGGTCCCATTTCATGCAACTCAAGAGTTCTAAGACACAGGTCAGACCACGTTGGTTCACCGACAATTCTTTGACGGTCTGGAGTGCACAGCAACACAACGTCATGGAGGGGCCTTACTGAGAGGCAGGTTATGTCACAGCAGAACACGTTTGAGATTAGAGGTGGATTAAGTGACATGAACGTAGACTGAGAAACACGTATTATGGGGGCATGCAGGCAAATTAGTGATTGAACTGACTTTTCACCCTATCTGTAAAAATCCTACTGCACTGAGTTCACAATCAAATTGGTAGTTATTCCAAATCCGGAGGGTTTGATGGGAGCAGAATTGGCTCATCTTCAATCAGGCCATAGGATATTGCCGGCTTTTCCCAGATAAACCTGTCAAAGTTATTAAAGCTTCTGATCCCCCAACAGAGATCATGATTCTGATACAATATAACAGAATGAATTCCTGAAGTAATGCAGCGAGGGTTTGGATTTTCCTTGACACCTGTGCATTTGTAGCATATCTTTAATTACAGTAATTGTTATTTGTGAGTGCTACAGGTTATAGTGGTGTCAGGTAATCAGTCTTCAGAAGGAACAGTGGAAATGTGCCCACTAAGCCCCAATTTATTACATACGTATGATTAAGAGAAGATTTCCCACAACTCCTCTGGGAACACGCGTGGTACTATTTAATTCTTTACCAAGATCACCGATCCTACCCAATTAAGTAAGAATTAGCTCTAGTCACAGTCAACCAAGTTGACAACCAACAGAGTCACCACACACGAAGGAGGTGCTTAGATGAGAGTGATGCTGCCATTCCCTTTCCAGACAATCACCACCTGACCTCCAGCCCGCAGTACCCACTACACGCAACTACTCTGCACAACCAACAGAGAATTCCTGGAAACCACACTGTCAGCCTGACCACCTGATACTCTTGCTTAAATTTCTATTCTAACTTGAGAAGAGAAGTATGAGATAGCTAAAGACAAGTTCTGCCTATTCTCTTTGCCTAGGGTTGGTCCTGGTTACTAACAAATGAGACTTAATCACTATTTAAAAAGAGACTACAAGGGCTGGTCTGGTGGCATAGAGGTTTGGTTTGCGTGCTCCACTTCAGCGGCTCACGGTTTGTGGGTTCGGATCCTGGGCGTGGACCTCACACTGCTCATCAAGCGATGCTGTGGCAGTGTCTCACATGCAAAATAGAAGATTGACACAAATGTTAGCTGGGGGCCAATCTTCCTCAAGCAAAACGAGGAAGGCTGCCAGCAGATGTTAGCTCAGGGAGAATCTTCCTCATCCAAAGAAAAATAGTGATTACATGGACTCGAGAGAGAGCCACACAATTGGTAGCATTTCTTCTTTCCCCAAAGTTTGAGTTTGGTTCTGAGCAGCTGGGAAACTGCTGCTCCCACTTCCACCTAATCTGATCTTGAAAACACTCTGTAGTTAGAGTGAAGATGCAGTTCCTGTGGATTGTTATGCAGTTACTGACAGCACCCAGAGGGTGTGGGCGTGATAGAAATCTGGACCACAAGTTGAAGCGCTCGTAGTATCTAGTCTTTTCCAACACAAACACACTCGAGAGTCAAAATGGAGACATCAGGGCAATAACAGCGCATTTCCTCCTCCTGGGATCATCCAAATTAGACCCTTATTGCAGGCTTGTTTAAAAAATACTTTTTTCCATGAAAACTTGTAGCCTGGAAACCTCTAGTTGGATATTTGCTTTCCTTTTCATGTTTGTCTTTTGATGTATTTAAAATGATAGGCCCAAGTACCACAATGTCAGAGATACGGCCATCTGACCTGAGAAATGAGGCATGGAGGGTTGCATGAAAAAACAGGAATTCCTCAGATAGCAGTCTTCCCTATGACTTATTTTCTGTGGAAGGCTTGCCTGCTGCTCTCTGCTGAGAATTATTGCTATAAAGTAGCTACACGTCCTAAGAAATACTACTAACGTTAGGACCTTGAAAACTTAATCTTCCTGATGGAAAAATTAATGAAGTTTGACCACATTTCATTCCTGCTTAGGAATTCTTGAGAAAATAAAACAAACGTTGGTGGTTTCTTTGCTTTCATAGAGGGAATAAAAACCAAACCACATAATTTGACAATCATGAAAGGTTTTTTTGTTTTTGGCAGAAAGTCCAAACTAAATTTAATCCACATGTAGTTATGAGTCTCCACATTTATAACATTTAGAAAATAGAGCAACCAAAAGAAGGCTGGTGATTTTTAGCAAGAAGAAATCACATTTTCTCGTCTTCACAGTTTCTATCACATTTCCAAGTCGAAGATACTTCTCCACCAACACATAACATGACTAAATTACAGTTATGCGGTTTACCAGTTAAGTACTTTGCATATCTAAACATATGCATATCTATATGCATAGATTTGCATATCTATATGATATAGGGTAAAAAGACTAAAAAATGAAAAAACTTCCTCTTTCTAATCCACTATAGTAAAGATTTTATAGTTTTTATAGTTCCTTCTTTTTCTTTTGCAAGCTGTTAAATACAAGAATATCCCAGCCCTAAATCATTTATACCGTCTTTTTGCTTCTACAATAAAATTTACAAATGGAATTGCTGTCCTGTGTCACAGAGCTTTAAAACAAGCAAACAAATAAAATTAACAAGTCTAAATCTGTTTTCAGTTCCAAAAGCTTTGTCCTACAATCTGTGTACATCATCCATAATCCAAAATGATGTCCACACCCCATAGAACACTTGAGAGCAAAGGGCATCATCTAGACTTGATTTCCATCTTTTTGAAAAACTTGTTATAGATTACCTATGAGTACTTCTTAGTTACTTTACTAATGTACGGGCATGTCTCAGTTCTTTTCTTAATGTTCTGTGCCACACAGGCTTTTGTTTTAAGAAATAATGTTTGGAGTGTCTGAAATCAGAACAAACAACTTGGCTTCTTCATCTTCTTTCCTTTCCCACTGATCAGAGGGCCTTCTGTTTTGCATCTTCTGTCTTGACTCAAGGCAGGCTGTGCTTTGTGTCTACTGTCAGGATTCACCTCAGCTCAATTACAGCAGAGTGCTCTCACTTTCTGATATGCCGCAGGAAATAGTTGCCATCTCCTCCCGGTGCTCATCATCTCCAGTTGAAGCAAAAAGACTGAATACGCTAGTCTTTCTACCTTTTTGTCTAAGAATCACCTTCTCTTTTTATTTTCCCTCTGAAAAGATATCCAATGTGGCCCCCATCTTATAAACAATCCAAGGGTTTAAAATAGTTTAATTATGAATTTAATTTTTACTCATTTTCTTTTGCCTTTTTCTCTCCAGAGGTAAAGTCAGTGGCTCAGTGCAGCCCACTTTCACCGGCCATCCATTTGTGACTCAATGTTTCTGCCTCCGGGTATTATGGGAGTGCGGGCTGCAGACCCCGTCACCTTGCTCTCACTCCTTCCCCTACAAGCCATTTTCCACAAAACAGCCAGTATGATCCTTAAAAACCATGAATTACCCCTTGTTAAAAACCATCAAATGGCTTCCCAATGCACTTTGAATATTTTCCAAACTCCTCCTTCAGCCCGTGAGAACTTGTGGCTGGGCCTGCCTCTCTGACCTCAACCCCTCACATTGTTCCTCTTACTCAATGGCTCACTGAGTTTGGGCCACACAGCCTCTGCCCGGCCTCTCCCTGCTACGCCCACAGACAGCCGGCTTCCTCTTGCCGCTGAGGTGTTTGTTCAAAGGGCTGCCTCCTCAGAGAGGCCTCCCCGATCACAGGCTCAATCTGAGAATCGCTTGGGCCTCTTCTATCAGTTCTCCCTGCTTTATTTTCTTCATAGGCCTTATCTCCCTGTCTAGAATTTAATCCTATACAAGCACGGACCTTATCTGACATGTTCACCTCTGTATATCCCTAACACCTGTTCTACAACATGGGGATGCATCAGTGAAGAAAACACAAAAACCCCTGGAGGAGCTGCTGTGGTGTGTGTGTGGGGGGGGCGGGGGATGTAGGTAACAAACACTGTGAACAAGTGAAGTGGACGGTATGTTGGATGGTTACAAAAAGTGAGGAGACAAAGAAAGCAGGGAGGGCTGGGGAGTATCGGGGTGTGTGTGTGTGTACAGTGTCAGATAGGGAAGACTCACCGAGCAGGTGACCAGATCTAGAGGAGGAACAGAGAGAACGCACGGCAATCTGGGGGAAGAGCTTTCAAGGCAGGGGGACTGCAAAACACAAAGGTCCTGAGGCAAGAGCCTGCCTGGAGCGGTGGTGAGACCAGGTAGTTAGAGCGGGGTGAGGGAGGGAGGAAGGGGGGTAGATAGCGGACAGCCAGATCATATAGGGCTTTAGACCGTGTGCGGATTTGGGCTTTACTGTGTGAGATGGGGCGCCACTGGGGGCCTCTGAGCAGAGGAGGGACAAGAAGAGAGGATGGGAACTGGAGCATGCGAGGAGACGCAGGTTACGGGAGAGTGATTGCACTCGGGGCGCTTGGGCTGCACCGAGGGTCCAGGCTGAGTAGGGGGAGGGCTGGATTTAACCAGGGTTTGACAGAGTTGAGTAGAAGCAGAGAGAGGGCAAGGCAGCCGAGCACATATGATTTCAATAGTTGACCATGGCATTTAATCACATGTAGAGAACAGGGAAGAATAATGGTAAAGAAGTTCATGCATTTTTGGAATGAATGGAACCAGACTGATCTGAAAAGACTCTCATAGGTGAACCTTAAAAGTCTGGTCCAGGGATAGTCAAGGAATATCTATTGAATATCAATCAACAGGTATCAAACATCCTCATCCAAGGGACCATGGGAGGTGCTGTGGGAACATAAAGTCTAATGCCCTGTATGAAAAGAACAATTCTCCCAATTATATATGAAAAGCTCGTAATGAGTATCAGAGATGGTCTACGCTTCAGGAGTTGAAATAAGACTGTTTCATCTTTCCCTTAATCTACCAAGCTAACTATTATTAACAAAACTACATTAGTGTGCACTTCTAATGAGGTTAAATACAGATGTTTCTGTTATAATACAATATATATGTTTCTGAAAAACCTATGCTCTATAAAAAACACACAATAAAATTACAGGCTTATTGGGAAAACAGAGTTGGGGATGGTCACTCGAAACCTATGCAACTTTGAAACCAGAGCACTAGCCAAACACCATTTGGTACCTCGGGAGATAATCGGGCATCCAGGGCAGGCAGTGGGGCTAGAGGCTGCCACAGGGGATATGAAAAACGCACAAAAGCAAGGGTGAAAGTGCTGAGACGGAGGTGAGGCCAATGAAGTTGAGCTCTGACGCAGTTAAGACAGGAACAGAAGGTGGCGCCACCTGCTATTAGCCAAGAGCTGAGCAGAGAACAGGAGAAGGCACCCTCAAGGCAGGGAGCCCTGGGGGTATAGACTTGTTTTAAAACATATTAAAATAGAGCAGAAAGGGCCCTGCCTGTGTTGCGGCCAAGCCAGTGGCCTTTTCCTTTGTTGTTGAAGGTTAAAATTCTACTTTCGCTATTCCAGCTCCCAGGAAAAATTATGTGTAAACCAACCAAAAATCACGTATAAGCCAAGGAAACTTCCACATTTATACTAACATAGGTCGCCTATTCATCAATCACAAATGAGCTAACTGATGTCACAGAAAGAATAACCACATAATTTATCTTTGTCCTTAAAGTTTAAAAAAGTACAACTATTTGGAAAGCATGAGATTTTAATATCCTTAAGTAGAATAAAACGTCATTAATTTAACTTCTCCATGCAAAAGCGATTCCAGTTTACCTTCTTAACCTTGGCCTCCTTCAGTTTTTCCAGCGCTAGCTTAATTTTATCAGCCTTGGCTGCTGCTTCTTGCTCTTCCTGGAAAATGGCAAGACATTCAACACACTCCATTACATAATATCAGCGAGTAAGTCCTCATGCCATTGCTAGTGTCTTAGTTACTTTATGTTAACAGAAGGCTCTATTATAGGGCACGAAATTTCACATCGATTTTTCAGAATTTAAGTGACTGTAACAAAAATCTTCAACCCAGAGATAGAGAAGGCGGTCACCCTTTATATTTTAGCAACAGTAACTTAAAAGATGAAAACGATGATTCTAACAGAGCTTCACATATTTTGTCCACAAAAATCTCTGCTTGGCTCAAAACTGGGGGCTAACCTGAGGAATCTATAGGTGGATCTTAAGGGATTTGAGCACTTCCTGAAATTTTATGCATTCTTTTGGACCAGCATGCATTTTCTGGGATTCCTAGTCTTTATTCAATTCCTAAAGGGGTCTTTAACTCACCCAAAGTTAAGGCTTAGACTTGAACTTAAACTTATAATTCACCATAAGCAGGCAGAAAAGAGAGTGAAACATTTTATGAGCCCTTTGATTTTTGCAAATTAATATTCTGAGAACAGGATGATTAAGGCTCTCCTACCTATTTATATTGATGAGGAAATGAGCTGTTCTAGTTACATTGTGATTACTTGAAAGTGGACATATATCTTCTCATAGCAGTGGTTCTTAAGTTGTTTTTGAGCCACAAACCCTCTAGGAATATGTTGAAGGCGATGAAGCCCATAAAGCTTCACATGGGCTTTCAACTTTCCTTATACTTTCAGGGAATCGTGGCCTCCTTGACATCTCCAAGAACCCTATATTGAGAGCCTCTGCTTGTCAGAATGGCTATCATCCAAAGACAAGAGATAACAAGTGTTGGCATCAAGGGAACCGTGGTGCACTCTTGGTGGGAATGTAAATCGCTGCAGCCACTATGGAAAACAGTATGCAGGTTCTTCAAAAAATTAAAAATAGAATTACCATATGACCCAACAATCCCACTTCTAAGTGCTTATCCAAAGGAAATGAAATCACTATTTTGAAGACATCTGCACTCCTATGTCACTGCAGCATCATTCACAATAGCCAAGATGTGGAACAATCTAAGTGTCTGTTCATGGATGAATGGATAAAGAAAATGCGGTGTATATATAAATATAATGTAATGGAATATTATTTATCTATGAGAAAGAAGGAAATCCTGTCATTGCAACAATATAGATGAACTCTGAGGGTATTATGCTATGTGAGCTAAGTCAGGCAGAGAAGGACAAATACCGTATGATCTCACTTATATGTGGAATCTAAAAAAGCTGAACTCATAGAAATAGAGAGTAGAATGGTGGTTTTCAGGGGCTGAGGGATGGGGCAAATGGGGAGATATTGGTCAAAGGGTACAAGCCTCCAGTTACAAGATGAATAAGTTCCAGGGATCTAATGTACAGCACGGTGACTGCAGTTAACAACACCGTAAGTCGCTAAGAGAGTAGATCCTAAAAGTTCTCACCACACACCTAGACAAAAGGTAATTATGTGAGGTGACGGAAGTGTTAACTAACCTTATTGTGATAATCATTTCACAATATACTTGCATCAAATCATACATTTATACCTGAAACTCACACAATATTATACGTCAATTATATTTCAATAAAGCTGGAAAGAAAGAGAGCCTCTGCTCTATATGGATCACCAATTTTCAAATGATGTTACTAGAATATATACACAACAGAGCAATGAGTGTGACCTAATATTTGATTTATATGTAATATTTATTCACTCAAAAGGCATCATAGGAACTTTCAGGGTTACTAGGGTCATATTTATAAATCCCGATCATCATCATATACAATAAATGTGGAAGCCACAGGAAATGGAGCTGGGTTCTTACTCTAAAATATTTTTTAAATGGCTCATTCTCAGAAAAATCCTTAAAAGTGCTGTTTTTACTTTTAAGAGAGACATAAGTTAACATCCCAAATATTGACCATATGAACTTTCCAGTTGTTTGTTTTCCCAGTATTCAGAAACGTATTAAGATCAATCACTCATCACCTGCCTGACCCAAAACACCCCTCCCCAGCTAGCCCTACTGAACAGGGCTGCCAAATTCAGCAAAATTCCATGTAGTTGAATTCAGAAATACGTAAGGAATGCCTTCTGTTCATTTATGTACCAGGCTAGGACCAGAGATCCAGAAATGTATAAATCAGTTCCCCAGTTCATACCAAATTAATAAAACATTACCCCCAAAAGGTTGAGTATTATCAGAGAGTGCTGCAGACAAATACAGATTTCAGCCAAACTATAAAAATTCCTGAAAATGACGTGTTCTTTATACACACTTATGGGCCTTGTTTATGGAGGACTCTGACTTTGCAATGAACATACTTGGTACCCTTGTTTTTTACTCTCTCAGAGCTTTGGCTATAAAAACGCAATGAATATAACTGACCTTTGAAGAAAGTCAAAGATCATGGGTAGCAGAGATCAAGGGTCCTGCCTTCTCTGGCCCCACACACTTACCTGAGAGAGAGGTTCAGGAGGCGGTGGTGGCAGAGGCAGGTCTAACATCGGATCAGCTGGTGGAGGTGGTAACTCGTCCCCATATTGGCTAGTACTCGTTACAGCCATATCTGCTCCATAACCAAGGGAGGCTGCACCACTGAAATTTGATTTTTCCAGAGATGCCGAATGAAGCTGATCCTGAGAGGACTCTCTCTGTGCCTGGATTGTCCTCTGCTCAGCTTCACTTATGTCAGCTACCAGATCTGCCATGAGAGCATCTAAATCTTGGTCTTCCAGTGCATTTAAGGACTCTGATGGGGAAAATCACATTAATGATCAAAACAATGATTTGTACCTGGAAAAACTGAAAGAAGATCAATTTTAAGAGTAATATTTGAATACTGTTTGCGAGGGGCTAGGGGTTGCAGGAAATAGGGAGGGGTTGGTAAAAGGGTACAAACTTTCAGTTGTAAGATGAATAAGGTCAGAGGATCTAGTGTATAACATGGAGACAATACTTGATAACGCTGCATCATATAATTGACATTTGCTGAGAGAGTAGAGCTTAAACATTCTCACACACAAAAAGGTAAATGTGTGAGGGGATGGATGTGCTAAGTAACTTGACAGGGCGGATCCTTTCACAGTGTGTATGTATATCGAATCATCACGTTGTACAATTTAAATATCTTACAATTTTATTTGTCAATTAAATCTCAATAAAGCTGGAAAAAAATTCCCTCTTCCCCCTCAAAAAAAGAAAAGGAGAAAAACGTGTTTCTTCCATTGAGGGACCTTACAGCCCAGCTATAAAGTCAAATCTGAGCATGTAATAAGCTTCCTAAGTAGGGAATTCTTTTAAATTGTGGTGCAAGATCTTAGAGTTTTAGAAAAATAGAGGAAGCGAGATGACGGAAACAGATGGAAAGTTCTCCCCGGGCCTTTGGAGGGCAAAGAGAGTACCACTGATAAATATATTTGGAAGAAAGTGGGTCTCAACCCACTGGGGTTTTCTAGGCCTTGAGACTTTGGGGTGAGGATAGAGCTTCTGTAGGCACGGCACCCAACTACAGGAGCCCTCACATTCAAAGGAAGAGCACTTAAGGATAAATAACAGGAAGTAAAGCACTAAGGGGGTTGAGGAGTAGAAAGTAATTTGTTAAAATTGGGATTAACTGGTGAAGCCTTCATAAGACAATGAGCTGGGAGTTGACTTTATAGGAAAGGGCTGACATGGATTTTCAGAGTGAGGGTGAGGGAGTGTAGTTCACATGAGAATTTCTTCCATGTCTGAGATTACTGCAGAGATCCGACACGTGGTCCTGAAAGATGATTAGACTGTGTGGCACGAAGGGAGTGGTGTCGGTGAGCAGTGTTAGCAAGGTGCTTGGATGATCAGGCATTCATCAGATGGCGAATGTAATGAACAAAGGATGGGCAGCATGGGCGTGACCATGAGGAAGAGAATTCCAGCTGCTATGTGTAGGATGAACTGGACGGAGGAAATGGGAGCAGTGGAAATGGAGCCTATTCAAGTCATAAGCATACAGCTTTGTGAAATATTTTATTGCCAAACATCATCATAATAAACACACATAGCATATTACATTAACGCTAACAGTCGTAGTGTGTAGCACTTGGACCAAAATTTGGATCTCTTAACTGTTTAAAAAGGGCTTATTTTCTTCTAAGCCATTTTGCATATAATTAATTTAAATTAATCTAAAGTTTTTCAGAAAAAAATGTCTGTAGAACAAATGAAGCATGTTTATAATTTCCTAATGTTATCAATGGCATCATGACTGTTGACATATAAGCAAATGCCTTCAATCCTTTATAAAAAATTTTAGGGACAAAATTTCCATAGTGGTACTTATATTAACAATTTCCAAAGCAAATTATAATCCTAAATATTTCAATATGGAATTGAGTAATATGAAATTGGAGAATAAGATATAAATGGATTCTGTCCTGAAGTTTGTCACTAACTCTCTGAATGACTTCCGGTGAAATATTTTTAACTCATTTCAGCAGTGTTTTAGGTACAGACAGAAAAAATCTATTCCTATTCTAATTCTCCATAAATTTAATTTTCAGTACACATCAGTACTTTTTTATGGTCTTGTCTTATTTGCAAATTGTGCCACATGTATACATCTCATCTCCTTAATGACATGAGTTTCTTGTTGTACTTTAACATTACTAAGTTCATATATTGCTGGGTTTCTTTGTGTCTGTCATCTTCAGCAATCTTTTGATCCTAGGTACTGAGTGCTTAGAAAGCATTAGTTGAGTTGACTACAACTGAAGTACTGATTACGTTTTAATTTTAATTAAATTGATTAAAGCACTCAGCTGTTACAAGTGTGGTGACGCGAATCTCAGTGTTCATACACACAAGCCTCTATTATCTATTAATGTCATAATTTTACAAAAGTGTATTGCTTTTCCGAAACTTCAAGAATGTTAGCATCATTCAACATTACGATGGAAACGACCGAGAGGAAGAATATATGTACACGGCAAATAGAAAAGAGGGTGAGAAAAGAGAAAATCAGAAGAGATGTACTATGACTTATAAAGATACAGGCATTGGCACCTAAGGATTTATCGAAAAAATTACTGAAGATGACAGAAAAAAGGAGACAGTGAGTGACAGAAATAAAATTTGGAACTCTGGATTTCAGTAACTAGCCTTCTCTATTATTTTGTTTTTTATTCTTTTGGTAGGCACTGCAAGTTTTTGGGAAATCTTTTTGAAGCGTTGCAATGCATTCTCATTAATTTGGAAGTAATTCATTCAAGATTCATTGTAATGTGACTAGCACATGGGCTGAAGACTGTCTCTGCACTAAATAGAAAGTGAGATTTTTGTTAATAAAATGACGTGACAATCTCAGGAGAATGAAAACATATAAAATAGAACAAATACATTATATTATATATTAATGATATGTATATAAATACATTGAATTTGGAAGCATCCATTCATATATTATCAATCACCATGAAATGGACAGTTCATTATCATCCTTGAATGGACATTTCCTTATTAATATTTTCTTATACTACTGTACGTTATTACTCTAAGGGCTTAGCAATAAGAAGAAATTCCCTTTACTTCTTTAAAAAATAAGATAGTTTTGAGACTTTACGCAGATGCAGGATAGTGTTCCCTCTCATTATAGGTAAAAACACCTTCTTGTCCTCTCAATTCAGTCCAAACACAACACAATCTGAAATCTAGGAGGTTAAAAATTATACTTATCATGCTGTCCAGGTTCCTTTAATTTTGCTTTCAAATTATAGTTCCATACAGAGTGTAGTCATCACTATGATTTCAAACGACTGAAGAAGAGAAATGATGATGCTTACCATTTAAATCCTTAAACCCCACACTAAAGTTAAATTCAGCTCTCGGCGGTTTAGGGTCCGGAGGAGGAAGAGTGTCGACTCCTAAACTCTGTGGAAAGAGATCCCCGTCCCCAAATGTTATTGACGATACAAACGCTTTTGCAGTGCATTTTAATGATTAAGTCAAAACTCGTTTATCATTTTCACTCTAAATATGCTCTTTAAAAACTATTCTTACTTAAAAATGTTTCACGGGAGTTTTTTCCCCTACAGGAAATTACAACTTAAAAGTTAATCTAAAAGGTATGTTTGAAACAAAACAGGTCAACTGAGAATGATCAGAATGAGATAGCTAAGTTAAGTTTTATAAACAATAGGAAAATTTCCTGTAATGATGCATTTGTGACACATACAGCACACACAGTTCTATGAGGACTTAGGCAATGACATCAAAGAAAAGGAAGGTTTAGTAATTTGGAAGACAAACGTTGTTTCAGGATGCAATCCGCCATTACACAGTGAAATGTTATGCTGTTACTCTTATCTAATAAAACTCTTGAGAAAAGGAATTGACAGAATAAGTTACTAATTTTGTAAATGCTACTTTTTAAATTGAAAGAGTGTTGCATCAACTATGAGTTATATTACATATATAATTTAAATTTTCAGAAATATTTTTATGTCTATAGTTTGAGAAGTGATTTCACCTGGTCCTAAACAAGGATGTTTTCATGACAGTGAGTGCATCCTTTTATGTTGATTTGATTTGGTAGAGAATATCCTGGTTCATGTCTTAAATTTATGAAGGAAACCAATCACTATATGTTTGAGAATAAATTAATGAGATATAATCAGTAATAAATACTAGGGAAAAAGAGACCATTCATCAAGAAGAAGTTACAAAAAATTAATGCAAGCAAGTTAGAATCAAGGATAAAATGTAGGGAAAAGTGACTGCAACCCCAGAATTCATTCTAAAAAACAAATGAGCATGCAGAAATTACCAAGAAAAGGGGAAGTGGGTGAATGAAGTATGGGGCAAATACTAGAATAAAAAATTTAGTGAAAGTATGAAGAAATTTCTTAATGACTTCACTTTTTAACATTACATCTAAGAAGTCTAACATCACAGTTAGGGTAGCCAACTAACTTCTTCTCAGAAATATAACTTACTATGCTACTTGAAATTAGAAGTAGATCTGTAACAAAATATTAACACATAAATGTGTGATAAAACAGGCTTCTAGTAAAACATAGAAAGAGGGAAAAAAGAGATAGGAAACTGATTAGAGCTCCTTTAATCATAGAAAAGTCATTCAAAGGCCAACATGGAGTGAAGTACATAGCACTTTTCTTTATATGCTTGGTGTGGCCTGTGAAATGATTTTAGGTGGTACGCAAAAACACACAAACAATTAAAACTTAAATTATTGTGTATCTGTTTGGGAGTTTATTAAGAAAAAATTGTGAGAACATCTGACCTACCTGAGATTGAGTTTTTCAAAAATCAATTAAAGACAAATATTAAGAAAGTAATAGGATGGGTGGGTTGTAGACATGGCAAAAATCATTATTTCAAAATAAAAAAGTTAAAAGCACATCATTACATTTTAGTCCCCTTTAATTTTTGCCTACTTTGGAAAATTAGGAAGCCTATGGCTAACCCACCCATCTCAACCACGCCTCAGTTTCAAAGGACAGAATAGGCATAAAATTCACAAATGGATATCAAAATGCAAGCTTTTCTAATGGCTGGGAAAATACCCAATAATCTCAAAGTGCAGTTGACAGTGGTGGAATTGAAGAACAGATTTTAGACCCAAGAACAAAGTGGGGCCTTTTCGGTACCCTGAAATCTTGAGACCAGCTTGTTAGGAGAACTGTATTAGCCAGGCAAGCCCTGAGACTACACCCACTTGAGCACAATAAAAAAAAAGCAAAACCCAGAAGGGCCTTGAGTGAAGGCGGGTCCTATACACTCTGAAGGGCTCCCTTCTTACTCCTGAGTTAGAATAACAATACCCAACTGTGGTTCTATGAAATGCTAGACTCTGACCAATCAGAACGGTCATTCCTCCCACCAGAGCAGAGGTGAGTGAATGGATGGAGAGACCATAGATGTTCACTCCCCTTCACGGAAGGAAAGAAAATCCTCTCAGTTTTAGAGATGTGGTTACCATCTCCACACTGACCTGATCAACGCCCCTTTCATCTAAGCCTATTATCTCATATTTTGTCTCTTCTTTCATAGAATCTAAACTTTCTTGAATTTTATAAGGAATATAGAGTAGATGCTAGCTAAAATTGATTTATTTTTCCTAAAATAAATATTTTTAAAAACACAGATTACTCCTCATTTATTTTAACTTAAAGAAAATTTTAAGATCCTGTCTTATTTAGGAATATTGGATTATTCTTATTTTAATATTTTATGCATAAAGTGATGAGCTGACTATGCTCTGAATCAGAGAAGCATTTATGAGAACATGCTAAAGCTCACCTGACTTTGTAACCTGGGTTAGTGGTGCTGAGGTTGGCAGCCCCTGGGCTCAGTTGGCCTGACAGCGGGGTGATCTCTGAGTTAATCTGGTCTTGGTGCCAGTGGCTTTTTCGTAGACCTGAAGCTATGGCTGTGTGGCTTCCATGCTACTTTGAGAGAACTAAGTTCGCGTGATTTTCTGAATACAAAGGTAACTCCAGGGGAAATTGTTCAGTGGCGGTGGTTGTAGGGGGTTTGTTTGGGGAAAATCCCTCCATTGGCTAAATGTTTGAACACGATGAACATGAGAATTGCCTTAACAGAATGTATGTGGGACAAATGCATTCAATGAACTAAACTCAAGAGTGTATAATCAAGAAAAAAGCTTTCTTTTTTCCACCCACTATCAAAGTTACATCAGGAATAGATAATGTTGTCAATCTCCAGTCTTTTTTTTAAAGATAGCTCCCTCATCATGTTAAAATCAAATTCTGTAATCCCATTTTTTCTAATTTGAAAGTTAAAAAGGGGGATTTACCTTGGTCAGAAGATCCATCTCTCCCAGCAAATGGCTGAACATTTGGTCTATATCTTCATTTGACTCACCCATCTGAAAAAGGAGGAAATCCAGATATAAACAGTCTAATGAAAACCTGATCCATGGATAACTGTCCCATCTCTTTCTTGACCCCAAAAGCCCCATCCATGGGCAAGTAAATCGAGAAGAGAAAGCTGCAAGAGAGTAAGGTCTATTGGAGCCTAAAATTCCATGACTGACCTCCTCCAATTCGCTTGGTCCAAGATTGAACCAAACCCTAGGAACTATCTCAGAGTGACAATTGGACTCTGGTTTTTCAGACTAAACTAGTCTCTTTGTGGCCGAGTGGACAAAGAGTACATAATTCAGGAATTCACATGACCATAGGACACCTTTATTAGCAAAGGAGAAAGCCCAGTGCCACAGGTGGCAGGGAGAAGCAGAACTTCACCTCCCCTTAAAAGCTTCCACCGAAATGGTATCTCAGGAGTGAGTAAGCATATTCCCCAAACGATTCCTTGCTTTACAAAGACATTCTGCAACAGCAGCTTTCGGTACGTTTATTTGAAAGTATTAAGGTGACTAACACTGAGAACTAAGGTGGCCACACAATCAAGTGATAAGAGATGGAAATAAAACATATGTCACATTATAGCCTTTCTTTGCCTAAACCAAACGAAGAGATTGTCCAAGATGGGAAAAGTGTTTTCATAAAATGGGGCGGGGACGCCTTGTGAGATGTGACTAGTTGCTCCCTTCGTGACATTTTTGGCAAGGCTGGATGAGGAAATCAGGAGACATGGTTACTGGTCCTCCTTCAGCTACTAACCAGCAGTGTGTTGTTTGATAAAAGGAATCGAGTGCTTCATCTGTAAGATGACGAGTTTACCGCAGATCATTTCTCAGGGTCCTCAATGCTCTAAAACGCTGGAAGATTAATGTTAATTACAGTTCAAGCTAAGCAGTCTGGTGAGTGTATGTATCATTTAAGCCAAACAATATTCACAGGTGTGTATGCATGTATTTGGATTTTAATAATTTTACATGGAAAATTTTAAATATATACAAAAGTAGAATAATACAGTGATTTTATGTACTCATTATCCAGCTTCAATAATTATCAATTCATGATTGATCTTTTTTATTGAGATGTCATATCTATATCTTCCCAAAAGATAATTTTGAAGCAAATATTATTTTTTCATAAATATTTTAGTCTGTAGCTCTAAAAGGTAGGGTTTTTTTAACCATAATTGTGATATTATTATCTCTGTACACACACACGTGTGTGTGTGTGTGTTTGCATTTAAAATAAAATATTTGGCTAAAATAGGCAAAGTCAGGGCAGATTTATCTTTCCTTGCATAAATTATCTTGAAAATATATGGTTGTCCCTTTACCATAACTTCAAGCTAATACTTGAGTAGCAATACCTTTTCATTTTTAATAGCTTTAGCTAATAAGGCTTTCTCTGTCTCTTTATAAAATATGTATATGAAAAACTTTTGTCATACTGACTCTGCTACTTAAAACTGATCTGAATGATCTTTTTTAAAAAAATCCAATTCTTTTTTTTTGTTTTTAAAGATTGGCACCTGAGCTAACAACTGTTGCCAATCTTTTCCTTCTTTTTTTTTTTTAAATTGCTTTTTCTCCCCAAATCCCCCCAGTACATAGTTGTATATTTTAGTTGTGGGTCCTTCTAGTTGTGGCAGGTGGGACACCGCCTCAACATGGCCTGATGAGCGGTGCCATGTCCGCGCCCAGGATCTGAACCTGCGAAACCCTGGGTGCAACTTAACCACTTGCCACGGGGCTGGTCCCCCAATTCTTGAAATTAAAGAAATGTAATGATGATGATGATGATGATCCCGACACTGATCTGGCACTCACCATGTTCCAAGAACTGTTCTATAAGCCGGGTTGATATTAACAGTAAGCACCCAGGATGGCAATGACAGCGAGCAATCAGAAGGAATGATGGCTGTGGAAACCATTCAGAGTGAGTTGGTGCATATCCCCCAAATATCCACCCTGGAAAGCCGGTGCTCAATCTTCCCAAATTATCTTCAGCAATTGTGCTGGGTTTACATCACTTAGGAAACCTTCTTGCTTAATTTCCCCAGGAGACATTTTCCCCTCTCCCAATTTAAGAAGGAAAAATGATTTTTTCCTTACACAACTTTAGCGTCTTCACTGAGCAGGGGTGAGAGTGTTTTCTAGCTGAATTTCATGCTCCCCACAATAATTCTTTCTTTGCTCTCCTTCTAGGCTCTCCCTCTAGTGAAACACAAAAGCTACTCTGAGTCGCAGTTATTGAGTATAGTCAGTATTCAAATTTTAAGTTGTGCATGTTTTATATTGGAGGAAGGACATCTCAATTGCTATGACTATTAATCTTCCAGAACACCCTCTCTGGCTTCCAGTGAAGGAGGAGTCTCACAGGAGCATGAGTAGCTACAAAAGTGAGTTGGTCATGAAGGGCCAGGAAGGGGACTTCAGTTAAAACAGGAGAGGACTATGACACCATGGGACAAGCGCATTCCTAAGTAGCAGACACAGCTGAAAGAATCAGGCGTACATACGCAGAGGACAGGCAGGCACGTGTTGGAATCCAGGGAAGCCCTCCAGTGAATGCTCAGGGTCAGACCACACAAAGCAGGCAGGTTAGCTCTCAGATACAGAAGTGACGGGTTAGGCAGACACTGCAGGTGTGGGTCTGTGCGTGCAGGTCTAAGAGGTCGGGGAGGACTCAAACACAGCATCAGTGAAGAAAGATGGAAGACGTTCATCCTGTTTTATGTGGGTTGTTGGGCACAGTGTTTATCACAGTCAGAGAAGGAAAGAGAGCAGCAGGTGGGCCCTGGCTCTGGTTGGGAAGGGGAGTCAGTGCTAGATCCACTCACATGTGGTTCGAATCCCCTCCCAGTTTCTTACAAAGTGTCTGAATCATACCCTCCCTTCTTCAAATTATCTGCAAAATGGAGGAAAGAAAATATTTAAGTCAACCAAGTACCCACGGCTTCACAAACTCTCCCCTCAAACAATTAACTGGCATTCAAAATGTTGTAATGGATGATGCATTCATCACTTCAATAAGAGGAAATTAGCAGAATAAACAACAAAATTCCAGAACTGCCCATGTGAATTTATTTTCATTAGAATATTATGCAGTGCATCATGTGACAAAATAAAGGAAATCTTCAGATAATTAACAGGGGAAGTTAAGAGTAAGTATTAGTGTTAACATATTTCAAATTTTTTATAGAAGTAACCCAGAGGAGAAGAAGGTGGGGGAGGGCGAAGGAGGTAAAGGGGCACATGTGTTCGGTGATGGATGGCAACTAGACTTTTGGTGGTGAACACGATGCAGTCTGTACAGAAGTTGAAATATAATGATGTACACCTGAAATTTATGTAAGGTTATAAACCAATGCGACCTTAACAAAGAAAAGAAAGTAATCCATTCAGAGTGGGAAAAATAAATTTATTTGCTGATCTCAAAACTGCCAATCAGTGTTGCATTAAACTTATACGATCCAAAGATGATGCTCGTAATAAGAATCCTACCATTGATGCTTTCTCTTAAATCACTAAATTTGGAAAACTGCTAAAATGCTGAAGAATAAAGTCTTGAAAGGAAATGTGGCGTCAATGAACCAGAAAAACCCACTGAGCCCAAAGGCCTTGGTTTCTCTGTACACATCACCAATACAGAATGGGTTGAGGACATGCCAGGGTGAATCACACATCTAATATGGAAATAACTTGAAACAACAGCACATTCTCGTGACCTCTGCTGAAACTCTCCCTGTGTTCATCTGGTAAAAATCTTTCTCTGCCCTTCCATTCCTTTCCCCCAGAGTCTGTTGATGTTAAATTATTAAAAGGAATCAACACCAAAATTGTGCTGTAAGTCCACAATCATAAGTACATCTGTTACTGAACGCATCACAGCTTAAAATAGAGTTACGTCCTTGGTAAAAACACTAAGACATTTAAGTTAGGGGCTATTATTGACATAAATTTGGATTCATCTGTAAATCCAATCATCTTCCATATTTACCCTCTCTGCAGGAAAACCTTGTTTTGGGGATGGACAGAACAAGAGTCACACAGATATATATACACAGCAGGTACACATACACACACACACAAGCGTGAGAAAATAGGGCTGTGTCTATTTGTACGTGTGGTATTTTCCAAAGGTCAAAATCAAGATTAAAAAGAGAGAGAGAAAGAAAACACTCAGCCCTCAGACAGCTCAGAGTGTTATTGGGTTAACAGTTTAAAAGAGCAGGGTGGAGCAGCCCTAGTGAAGCAATGGATTGCAAAACCAGCAATGTGCACATCACGAATGGGTGGAATTAACATCTTTTTGTGCATATGTCATTTCTGAGTCCCTTTCGTGTCTTGGGAATGACAACAAACTGTTGACTCAAGGAAAACTGGAATAGTACTTAATCAGATAGATTTTGCTGGCTTTTTTTTGCGGGGTTTGGGGGGGTGAGGAGTGGATAGAAGAAGGGTGGGGTCGTTGAGGCTGCATATCCAGGCTGAAATCTTGCCTTAGATTCCCTGAAGGACAAGGGAATTTTCTGTAATGCTCAATATTTCCCTAAGGCTCAAATTTCTAAGCCTCAGTTTTTATCCTCAAATAGTTTCTCTTCTCTCTATATATAAATCCCATATACAAACTTCAAATATATGTGTTTAAAAAAGTCTATCTACAAGAAAAAAAGATTGTAACTATGTTAGGTGACGGATGTGTTAACTAAACATGTTGTGGTAGTCATTTCATAATATTACATATATTGCCTCAACTTGTTCACCTTAAACCTATATAGTTATATGTCAATTATATCTCAATAAAGCTGGAAAAAATCCATCCTAAGTACTCTGATATATATATACATATATATGTTTAACAAGACATATATTTATGTCTATGGCAAAGTTAACCTCATACATCTGACTCAGTTTGGATGCAGGTTTCATTGCCATTTGGATTAGCAATTCCAGCCATGACTTTGGACCTAGATCAGGGCAGACCTTATTTTATCTGTCAGAAT